TTAACACAATGGAACAGGTCTGTGATCGGCGCGATTCATCAAACTGTCAGGAACATGACTTGTCAGTGTTGTTCTTACAGGCTTACATTTCATGAGTGGAAAATCACTGGCAATTTTCAGTCGCCCTGTCAATTTCGGTAGTAATTGATCACGCAGCAATGCTCCAAATACCTATATGTTTTTCTTAGAGGTTATAACGGCACTAACGATTAAAAGGAAAACAAATGTGTAAAGGAACCCTATTTTAAACCACACCACTGACACCTAAAGATTTAACATCTGTTTCCAGACAGTAACATTATAATGATTAACAATTTTACAGCAAACAGCAGCATTTGACTAGCTCTAACTGGGTCCATTAGTACATAAGCGGAAAACAAACAAAAGCAAACATATTTTCACTCGATTCTTCATGCTTAATTAGAAAACATCTCAAAAGTTGGATCATTCTCTTGACAACTGCACACTTGATTACCATGGCAACAACCTTGCTATATCACCACCTAATTATGACTAATTATCTATTACTGAGGGAAGTAATCAGCACTTGCCATTGGCTCCCGAGAGATGATGATTAAATGCTGAAAAACACTGAGGAACTTACCAGCACAAGATGTTGATACGATCATGATAATTCTCGATTTAACCAAAAAGTGGGATTTTCATATTATTGGCTATTAATGAGAGATTCGATTGTAAGAAAACATCGTCAGATATGTTATGAATCATCTTGAATCATTTGGATTTCGTGAAGAAGTTCTAATCCCTGACATGGTACAATTCCCTCCCATTACAAATGGATTCGCCACACTGAGTCATTCATGACATGTCAATTAAATTAACGTGATGGCCGTTAATCTTCAGCGCTTAAAGAAAAAGATGATGAAAACTTGTTTCAATGCATTTAAATCAGTAGGCTGAAAATGCACTAAATTGCTGAAATAATAAGTAAAAGTGAGAAGATGGCAATTACGCAAGTGTCCCCTCTGGAATTTGACTTAACTACGGCCTATTAGCAAGACTACACTCATTTACCGAGTTATCAGACTCCTCGTCCACATTTCCAAAGCCAATTTGCAGCTCAAGACAAGCAGAATGGACCTTTAACCTGAACAAGAAAGGGATGTAGCCAGAAGGCAAACAAGCTGAGCTGCAAAAGGAAAAAAAATATTCACACAGTACAGATGAAAGTTTACTGTATGACCCTATTAACCTGTATGATGTCTGGATCAGTCTCCTACACTCACAGCTTTACACTCAGCAGAACTTGAGATTTTAACTCCAGTGAAAACAATTAAAATAAATACAAAGACATAATGGTTGGGTGCAGAATAACACTCTAAAATTCTCAGTGTCCTGCAATACTTATTTAATACGAATCCCAAACAAATCACTATTTTTAGTAAATCACAAACATTCAACGCAATCACTGTAGTCTGATTCCTGAACAAATGACTCTTATGAGTCAGCTCTTCTTAGAGAATCAAAAACAACCATAGGGTGCAATCGATATCGTCCAGTTCCCAAACGAATCACCCTTATAAACGGTTTCTTTAGTAAATCAAAAACATTGACCACAAACAGTGTATTCTGATTTCTGAACGAATTACTCTTATGAACAGTCATTCTTATAGTGAATCAAAAACATGCATCATAAACAGTGTAGTGTGATTCCTGAAACTTATGAGCCATTTTTTTTAGTGAATCCGAAAATATTCAGTGCAACCAGTACAGCCTGATACCTGAACGAATGGCTGTAATGAGTCAGTTCTTCTGAGTGAATCAAACAAATATGTGACCCTGGACCACAAAACCAGTCTTGTATGGGTCAAAATTATCGATTTTTCTTTTATGCCAAAAATCATTAGGACATTAAGTAAAGATCATGTTTCATTTTGCAAATTCCTTACCGTAAATATATTAAAAGTTAATTTTTGATTAGCAATATGCATTGCCAAGAACTTCATTTGGACAACTTTAAAGGCGATTTTCTCAGTATTTAGATTTTTTTGCACCCTCAGATTCCAGATTTTCAAATAGTTGTATCTTGGCCAAATATTGTCCTATCCTAACAAACCATACATCAATGGAAAGCTTAATTATTTATAAATCTGAGACATCTGAAGTTTTGTGGTCCAGGAGAAATCAGGAAGGGGGCCAAGACTTTTTCACACCACTGTATATATCCTACAACAAACTGCAGTATAACCTAATTCAGTTTAGTTATTGACTGGTAATTCATGTGACGTGTGTACAGTATTTGTTATGAAAGCATCTTGTTATTTGTCAAAATAACGGCACTTCCCAATATTTATTCCTTAAAAGAACTGTTAATAGAATCATTAAGGAACCAGAATTACTGGCTGTCTTACAACTGGCAGGAGATAATGATCAGGTGTTGTAGAATTTGACGCTATAAGGATTAGCAATTCATTGCAGCATTCCCATAAACCTTATCAGCCATTTATGAAGGCAGATTGATCATGAATGCTCTCAATTCAGCATCTATACCCCAGAACTAAAGTATTCAAGAAGCATGACTAAGGCAATCATTTATTAATTTGTCAAGGTAATACTTCTTCAGCTAACGATTCTCTGCAGATGGAGGGGGAAAAAAGTCAAAGCTCTTAAAAGTAGACTCTATTTGCATTCTAATACCCCATGTCAGATTAACAAGAAAACCCCTGCCATGCAACCACACGTATAAACCTGCGTAATGTTCTATCGACAAATATATTAGGTTTCAGAGATGGCGTTTTAAAGGATTTGAGAGGCTTTCATAGAAAATGAAGAACATGTGCATGTGTTTCATTGATAATTGATTTTTAAAAAAAAAAAGAAATCAAATGCATTCCAAGAGGGGGAAAAATCATATAATCAGACAACAAATGGATAAAATTCAGTCAACCTGATTTATTATAGAGCTATGGTTTACTCTGTGGTACAGAAGAACAAGTCACACCCCATATCAATACTTCCATTGATAAAGTCTACAATTGATCCAGTAAATCCAATAACATGCTGAAGTCTGAATCTGGATCGAAATTTCAGATCCTGAAGACCTATTAGCTTGGGTCAGACCACAACATTAATCTCATAGCCGTCACTATGGACTTACTATGCATGGAACTCCATCAAGTTATTACTTGATTCTTCCATGCTGGAGTTCAATGTGGAGTCAATTTGCTTTTCTTAAAAGAGGTAAAGGATTAGAGGTGGAGCCCAATTAGCCTTGAGGTTAACAATGCAAGAGTAACTACCCTTTCTCCTAATGGCCTATTAGCACAGGAGTTTGGCGAGTGTGTCCAGAATGTCTATAGGTGTCTTTGGGCTAATGGTCTCCTTCAGACTGACAAAGACACTTCTAACGTCAACAAAAAAAGGACAATTTCATTAAGATGAAGACTAGCCTCTTTAATATCTCAATTGATTGCAGTGTAAACAGCGGTAAAATTTAAATATAAATGTATTTTTCAGTCAGTTCTTCCAAGACTATATGATCCGGACTGTAATCCACATGCATTCCAATATACTTCAAGAAAGATGCAGAGACTAAATTTACTGTATGTGTAACTAAAATTGACTGTTTACAGTACTTTATTAATTGACAGCAAAATCGACCAAATGATTGGCAGTGTTGGTATTTTTCCGATTTTTTAAACGTGTTACAAAAGACTTCTATGGAAGCCCGTTTCTGCCATTGAATAAAAATAAAAAGGTAACTGAGTTTACATCTCACAATTCTGACTTTTTTTCTCAGAATTGCATAATACAAACTCGCATTTCTGACCATTTTTCTCAGAATTGTGATATATAAACTCACAATCGCGAGTTATAAAGTCAGAATTGTGAGATAAACTCGCAATTGTAAGAAATAAAGTCAGAATTGCGAAATAAAAGTTGAAATTCTTACTTTTCCCCGAATTTATATCTTGCAAATCTGATTCTTTTTCCCCCCCCAATTCTGACATTTTTCTTAGAATTGAGAGATACAAACTCAAAATTGCAAGTTATAAAGTCCAATTCTGAGGGGGAAAAAAGACTGATATGTTCTGAGAAAAAAAGTCACAATTTATATCTCACAATTCAGACTTTATTTCTCAGAATTGCAACTTTATTTCTCAGAATTATGAGTTTATAAACTGACTGTATAACTCACAATTGCAAGTTTATATCTCAGTTCTGAGAAAAAAGTCAGAATTGTAAGATGAAAAGTCGCAATAACCTTTTTTCTTTTTTATTCAGAGGCAGAAATGGGCTTCCATAGATTTCTATCTCAAATGCTGTTCTTTTGAACTTTTTATTCATCAAAGAATCTTAAAAACATTTATCACAGTTAACGAAAATATTAAGCAGCACAGCTGTTTTCAACATTGCTAATAATAATAAAAAAAGCTTATTGAGCACAAAATCATTATATTAGAGTGATATTTGAAGGATCGTCTTACACTGAAGACTAAAGTACTGGCTGCTGTCTATCTATCTATCTATCTATCTATCTATCTATCTATCTATCTATCTCTGTCTGTATATATAATAAATAAATTAGATTTTTACTTCCAGAACCCCAATGTTTTGCTCTACACACATTTCTGACTTGTGCAAAATTCACAGGTGGATGCTATTGCCACAAAAAAAGAGATGTTTATTTTCATAATCGTTAATCAAAATATAATAACTTTATCTTCCTCTGAAACAGCTCTTTCTTGTTTAACTAAAATAAACTTACTGAATTAAAATACTGGTTTTAAGCTATAAAAGAGAAACCTGAGCATTAAAGTTTAACTCTAGGACATGATGCAACTTTACCATATTGCTAAAACTGGTGCTGATTGATCATACAGTATTTAAACGTATAACATTGAACATTAAGTAAATTATCAAGTAGGTGCTGCTATTCTAGAAAAACAACACATTTTTTAAAAAATAGGCTGATGAAATCTTATGAGATCTCCATGTAACAGTCATCGAGTCTGTGTGGGGGAAGAATGTCAGCTCACCTGATGCAATGTCCACGCGCATGTTTTTCTGCTGAGTGACGTTAATGTGCGCTGTGACTTTTCCATCGTTTAGAGCCAATTCCAGCATTCCATCTGCCAAGGAGCTGAACAGGAGCAGGCCGCTGGGGTTCCAGGTACGGAACTGGAATCCCACAGACACCATATTGTGGTCCCTCCTCCCCGGCAGCTGCAGAAAGCTGGTGCTGTTGAAGAAGACGGGGAAGGTGTGTATGTCCACGCAGGAGAACGTCAGGTTGCGCTGAAAATGAGGCAGGAAACACTTTACGTTTCCTAGACCTACTGAGATGGTTAAATAATTGTTTATGAGTCAAACAATTTCACGGCTGAACTTAGACCAGCTAACACCAGCTAACACATTTTGCAAAACAGATGTCTCTGTACAGCATCAAATGTGATGTAACACACTGCATATTGTATTTCTCAGATACAACATCTTTAATAAACGTACAAAGCTGTGAAATAAAGTGACTAGAAAATAAATCTGCGTCTGAAATGGTTGAGGACCTTTCATGTGGAACATGGGCTTAAAGAAAGATCTCTCAAAGTGCTGCTACAGCATGTTCCCTACCATGCCGTCGATTTCAGAACCTTAAGCTGGAAAAGGGGCTGCATGGAAGCAATGACGAGAGGTTTTATTCATAACTCTCTAGCTCTACATCCTTCTAAATGGTAATTTCGAGGCACCGAATGCACTTCAGACTTATTTCAAAAATAGTGAACTCAATCAGTCTCATCACAATGAAATAGAAAAGTGCACTCAGCCTTCCTCAGCGCTTCATAACAGAACCTCCGCCCATGTGATGTGTTTTATCAACCTTGAACATAATCCTTCAGACATGAATAATAATTCAGAGCCTGTCTATGGTGGACACATGTCAAATTTGGAAAGGAGGAGAATTGTGCTATTTTCTCACTATTAAAGAGATAGTTCAGCCAAGAAATGAAAATTCTGACAATCATTTGCTCATCTGGTTCCAAGCCTGTATGACTTTCTTTCTTCTGTGGAACACAAAAGAAGATATTTTTAAGATAAGAAGGTTTTTGTACAATGAAAGTCAGTGTTGTTTTGGACCTCAATGACTTTCAATGACTTTTAAATATCTTCTTTTGTCCAAAGAAATAAAGTCATGCAGACTTTGAACGACATGAGGGTGAGTAAATTATAGCATATTCATTTTAGATTAATTTTGTGCAGTACAAGCTTGATTGGTTTATTTGTCAAAAACTAAATCTCTGGAACAAAAACATGAATCTAATTCAACCATATTTCCATTTAACATAATGTTTGTCAGATGTTCTGTGATATGATGTGCTAGTGTAACTGTACGGCAGAGATAAGATTGTATTTTTCATCAGAAAAAACATTGTTTCTTCGTGTTTGTGGTTCCATTAATGAACCACCGAACACTGATATGCTTATCGGATATAATGTGCAATTATTGCATTCTTTGTATTATCACAGGCAGTGGAAATTAGATTATTATCAGTGCTGACACCAGTCATCAAATCTGTGTAGATGATTAACATTCTCATCAGCATTTTGAAACAAATGAAATGGATCCATACAGCATAGATATGAGGTTTAAAATGCGAGCTCCATCAATATCACATCTGAACCGCTCTACATTCTGAAGTGTCAACCTTGCACAGTTCTTCATGGTCATACACCTCCACAAAACCCTCCAGGCAAAAACAACCCACCCAAATGTGTTACATTTGCACAGGACTGTCATGAACGGGAAAGTTATGCACTCAAACTCTAATTAGGCAGATATGGTTTGTGGAGTTGATTAAAAAGGGAACAGACTTACGAAACTAGAAGTGTCCAGTTTTTTTCTTCTGGCCAGGTCAGTGATGTTCTCGCCATTGTAGTTGATGCTTTCCATGCAGCCTTTGAAGTTTCTTCTTCCTCCTGAGACTGGCTTCCCAGAATAAGGCATTCCTCCGAAAGTCAGCTACATGGAAAAAAATCAGACATAAGTCAGAAAAACAATATCAAAGCATTGCAATCCACCAAGTCTAACACAACAATATATACAGAGAGTTGGGTACAATGGTTAGTAAACTGAGTGGCCTCCATCATCTTGTAAACTGTGTGCAATATTTGCTCTAAAAATAAATATTTGCATAAACATGTTTTTGCATGTAATAGTAAATTTTCTACATTTTGGTTCAAATGAATTTTATGTCAAAGCAAATTAGCACAGGTCTATAAATATATGCCATGCATGTTAGTGAATTGCCGGTGTAAAATATAATGCAAATTATTCAACAAAGATTAGGCATGATTTTTTCCCCCCCAAATTGGTTGATGATATATATATCATTATCATTATTCAATAAATAAATAAAATATGTATGCTTAATTTTAAATTAAAAAGTTTTCATTAATACATATTTTGCTTGCTAGTATATGAAAATGCAAATAATGTGCAGCAAAATAAGATTTAATTTCTGCATTCATATTTTTTTTCTCATTCTCATTCATGTTCATAATTTATTTTTAAATGTAAATGGTTCCCATATTCACCAACTTAATAACCACTTTTTTTCGGTATCTTTTTCTTTTTTCTATTCTATTGTCCTATTTTCAAATTCAACTGATAGTACACTTGTACATTTAATTGAAATTGAAACTATGAAATATAATTAACAATATTATTATTACTTCTCAGCCACAAGCAAAAAAATTCAGCTTGCGACAATGGAGTAAAATTATACATATTTTTCTAAAATCAGATAATATCTAGCTATTGAAAGATGCTTAGTAAGTACTATTATTTAAACAATTTCAAACAGAGCCCAGAAAGAAGCACTAGTGCTTCAACAAAATAGTCGATGAATGCAATTGTTTGTAAATGCAATCTGCGCTCCAGCAAAAAAACACTCACCAGTTTGGATCCGTTCTCGGCTCAATTAATCAGACACTTTCACTTTAATTGGGGTCAATTTGTCTTAGACCAACTGAGCTGTAACCAGCTCTGTAGCATCCAACAGTGCCAGGAGTGTCTTTGTTCAATTGAATAGATAAGCATTTGCTCTCAGACCATATTCTTTACGTCGCTGAAAATCAATTTCCTATACATTCCTCTACAGCACGGGTTAATACGCATCATTTCTGTTTAATAACATTAATGTTATGTAATCCTGGTAAACGTTATTAGTGAGGATTAATCCTGTGCAGAGAAGTGGATTTGAAACATTCCATGCTGAAAAGAAGGACAAGGGATAAAAATCCCACTGCAAACAAAGTTTATCACAATGCGAACCTTCCTGAGACAAAATGTCTTGGTGTGACTTCACAGCTTTTTATCAAGCCTGAGCTTGAGATCTTTGGATTGGGTGACGACTGCAGTGTGACCAGAATCCTACAGAAATCCTTGAGATTTCGGAGATAATTACAGAACTTCTATTTTTGAGTGTCTTAACAGCCTGTGTGGAAATGAGATAAAATCCAGCTGATGCCAAACTTGACCTACACAACATATGTTGTATTTAGGGAGCTGCTGTCCAAAACCAGGCTTTTTAACAAGCTTAGAGAGATATTCTAATGACATAAATGAAAATTCTGTCATAATTTACTCCCTCTGTCATCCCAAACCTATAACTTACTTTCTTTTCCATAAAATGGAAGTAAATGGGGACTGGAGATGCCAAGTTCTAAAATTGCCAAAAACACACACCTTTAAGAAGTCCATGCTTTATATTCCAAGTCTTCTGAAGCCACACAATAGTAACCAACTGGCACTTTGTTTGAAGAAAAGACCAAAATTACTTTCCCACTGCCAAATCAAATCAAATATGATGTCAGAAAAATTACATCATGCAAGATTTTCACTGAATAATGATTTCAATATTGGCCTGGTCCCTCTCAAAGCAACTGCATCATATTGATGCCAGAAGACGTATAGAGATAAGTCATATAGACTGCTTTTATGATTACATTTTTGTCATTTTAGAGCCCGACAGTCTCAGTCCCCATTCATTTTAATTATATGTGAAATACCTTAGAGGATAATCCTCAACATTTATTTATTTTTTTGTGTTCACTGAAAGAAAAAAGTCAGTTTTTGGAAAAGCTTGTTCGAGTCAGGTTCACTATACTTTTATCAGCAATGCTTAGTCAACAAGCATCACTAAATTTGTTATGTTGGATTAAATAACAGAATAGCACCAAACCATCATTAATAACATAAATCAGCTTGGATGAGAATGAAATTCAAGCTTATTTAAAGTAAGAATTCTCACAGTATTTCCTGTTCATTTTCATCTTTGTGATTTCATCTTTGAATTAAATATGGTCACACTTTATTTTAAGGTCCAATTGTTGCCATTAACAAACCATTAACTATGACATTTGCCTCAATAAACTCCTAATTTGCTGCTAGTAAGTAATAGTAAGTTAGTTATTACGTTTAGGTATTGGGTAGGATTAGGGATGTAGAATATGGTCATGCAGAATATGTGCTTTATAAGCACTAATAAACAGCCAAAATGTTAATAATAGACATGCTAATAAGCAACTACAGTAATTAATAGTGAGAATTGGTCTCTATACAAAAGTGTTACCTTAAATACTTTTTTTAAATGACCTGTTATGGGGAGTAACATTTTGAGCTTCAGCATTCCCATAATGCACCTGCTTGTTAAATGAAGTTCAGAGCAATAAATCATTCACTTTCTCAGTTTCTCGTACCTCATAGTCCAGGTCAAGGTGGTCAAACTCCCCGTTGGTGCGGAAGTGCTGAGTATGCTGATCAAGGGTGAAATTGACATTTCTCCTGTAGCGCTCAATTACTACAGAATGCCAATGATGATCGTCCAGCAGACTGCCGCTAGTCACAGATGTATGGCCCAGGATGGAGCCGTACTGATTACTTCCTACAGTTTATTAGACATGGGAGACCATCGTTAATATCAAACACACAATATCTTCACCTTCACTGCAGAATAATTGATGGGAGGAAGTTCTGAACCTGTCTTCGCAAGGCATATGAGATGTTTATGTCCTTATGATATACAAGATAATGTGTTTTGTGTTTTACAGTCTATGAGTATTTATTTTCCCTCCGGCTAGGTTTTTCTGCAATGCGGGTCCATGAGATAAAAGGATAGTTCACACAGATGAAAACTCACCCTCGTGTTGTTCCAAACTTCTTATTCTTTGGAAAATTCAATGAAAACCTGTGTGGTTTTGGACCCCATTGACTTATATGGACAAAAACTATTGAAATATTCTTCAGATAATCTTCTTTTGTGTTCTACAGTTTTTTTTATGTTTTTGAAAGAAGTCTTTTATGCTTATTTATTTGATCAAAAATGCAGTACAAATGAAATATTGTGAAATATTATTACAATTTAAAATAACTTTTATATTTTCATATATTTTGAAATCTGCTGAATTTTCAGCAGTCATTATTTCAGTCTTCAGTGTCACATGATCCTTCAGAAATCATTCTAATATGCTTATTTGCTGCTCAGGAAACTTAATATTATCAATGTTGAAAACCATTATGCTGCTTAATATTTTTTTGTGGAAACTGTGATACATATTTTTTTCAGGATTCTCAAATGAATAGAAAGTTTAAAACAACAGCTTTTAGTTGAAATAAAACTAATTTGTAACAAACAAGAAACATAAAATGTCTTCACTTTTTGATTTTTGAACAAATAAATGTATCCTTGCTGAATAAACATATTAATTTATAATTTAAATACATAATTTATAAATAAATAAATACTAAATAAATAAAAATAAAAAGTCTTACTAATTCCAATTCTTTTAATTACATGAATGTGAGTAAAAACTGACAGAATTTTCTTTTTTTCTTTTTCTTTCTTTCTTTTTTTTGAGTGAACTATCCTTTTAAAATGTAACTCATTTTTACCAAAGAGTCAATGAGCATCAAACAATCAGTTAAATATCAGAAGACAGCAGGCATAAAGTCAATAAATAACATGAAGAAATACTTACAGCAGCACATTAATGACAAAATTCACCTCAAGGTACACACACAACAGATATCTATTATAGGCCTCCATATCAGATTTACCGAGGTTTATCTGCAGCAGTAGCCGGCCACTCCTCAACTCCAAGGTAATGTAGTCACCCTGTTGCCCCTCTCCGTGCAGAATCACCCCTTCGCTCTCTGATGTTTTAAACTTCAGGGCTATCACGTCCTTCAAAATCTTCATCTTCTTCATTTTGAAGCGGTAAGAGATCACCCCCTGGCCGTCAAAATTAATCACATCTGCCCCTGTTGACAGGAGGAAGAAAGACAGGAGGAGGAAAAGAAATTAGTATCTCTGAGGTGACTAGGTGTCATGCCCATTTTTGGCTAAATGATCGGTTGAGTGACTGTTCTATAGATTGCTTGGACGAAAGCATGGTGAAGTTCACAGATAAACTGCGGCTGGGTTCAGGTGATAAACTACAGTGAGGAGGCAGAAAATTGCAGTGGGCTATTACCTGCTGACAAAGCCTTTCTGCTTATTGCGCAGTGGAGGAGGATTTTTGATCCCTGTCAAGGCTCGGAATGATACATACCGGAAGTTATGAATGTAAATTCCTTTCGCGGCATCTCTCGCTCGCTCTCTTGGTTTCATCTCCTGCACTGACACAGCATAACCTTTGGATATATTACACAAGCTCACAGTGCCTTATAGCACTTGATTGCTTTGCAGACTGTATTTATATCATTCAGAAGTCGTGTAAAAATCTGTGATCAGCATGAGAAGGTAATTATAAAGAGAGCTACAGCAACATGAGAACAGAAAAATACAGACATCATCGTGTTCCCTTCCACCAATAAGATTGAAGTGGCATGTTTATTCGCTTGCTTTATTGAGAGATTGATTAGGTTTGATTTGAGCTTAATTAAAATGTAAATGATGGTGCTGATTTTGCTGTAGGATTGTGACTGCAATAACTTTGGATTAAAAGGGTCATAAGGGTAAATACTTATTTTTATTATATATATATATATATACATATATATATATATAGCAGTGTATACTGCTGCAGATTGCATTTCTCATCGAGACATGAATATTCATGTCTCGATGAGAAATGCAATCTGCAGCAGTATACACAAAGTTATAAAAATATATAATAAATATAATATATATGACTGCTGAAAATTCAGCTTTGTCATCACATGTATAAATTACATGATATATTAAAATAGAAAACAGTTATTTTATATCATTCTGAAATACATAAATCTTTCAGAATATTAATGTTGTTTTACTGTATCAAATAAATACAAAGAGACTGCTTTTAAAAAAATCGTATCGATACCACACTTTTGAATGGCATATATATTTATGTTTAATTAGCATTATGCTTAATATATTTAGCAAGCTTATTCTTGAATAATGTATATACTGTATATATATATATAATTTTTTTTTTTTTTTTAAAGAAACATACTTTTATTCAACAAGGACACATTAAATTTATCAAAAGCGGCCAGTACTTTTACATTGTTTTACACTGTTACAAAAAATATTTGCATTAAAATGTAATGTATGTTAATTGAACATAATGGTGGGCGGATTTGAAAAATACACAAAAATAACACATGCAGAGTATGTTTCGGGTCTACAGTAAGTGTTATTTTGATGTCAGCCAATGAGTAAGATATTTCCATTATTTGAATGGATCGTTCATGCATTCCTGAGGCATGTAAAATCAATTTGCATTTATCAGCTTCCATTAGCAGTGTAAATTGCAAAATGACGCAACAACTGTAATTATTCTACATGGACAAAGCAGGTGAGAATATGCGTTCAGTGTAATCTGTCATGTGTAGTGTCTACTACGACTGTGTGTGTGCTTCTGTAGAGTACAGTCTGCATGTGGAATTAATTAAATTCTCTCCATGCACCCTGCTGGGGACTGATTACTACACTAATGCATGAGTATGTGTGCAGTGTCTTCCACTCCTCTTGTCTCTCTCTCTATAGGCAATCCCCTTCACCTCCATCACAAATGCATTCATCCGTTCTCACCTGATCAACAAGGTCAGAGCACTGCATTCATTCTCATTCTGTGCTTCATCTCCACTGCAGGTCTTGCTTATCTAACTCCCATTCTTTCCCTCTATGCTTCCTGAGAAGGGCTATCTCTATTCCTTTACTGCACATCTTATTTATTTTCACTCAACACTCAGTGCATTTCCGTGTCTGAAGAGAAACCGAGTGGCGGAAAAGGTCCCCAAAAAGTGTTTTTGTACTTAAACTGGATATTAACTGCTTCTGGCTGCTCATTAGCTGGTTTAAGATGATCATACTTGGTTCAAGTTGGTCATTGCCTAGTGTAAAATGGTTTAAGACAGTCCTTGGTTGGTTTAAGATTGTCATTAATTGGATTAAACTAGTTTAAGATGGTTATTATCTAGTGCAAACTGGTTTAAGATGGTCATCAGATGGTCACTGGCTGGTGTAAGATGGTTTAAGGTGGTCATTAGCTGGTTATTAGTTGGTTTAATATGGTAATTAGCTGGTTTGAGATAGTCATTAGTTGGATTAAACTTGTTTAAGATGGTAATTACACAAAGTAAACTGGTTTAAAATGGCCATTAACTCGTTTAAGATCATTAAGGTAATTAGTTGGTTTAGGAGGATCAATAGCTTGTTTAAGCTGGTCATTATCTGGTTTAAATAGTCATTAGCTAGTGTAAGCAAGTTATTATTTGCTTTAGTATGGTTATTGGCTGGTTTAAGATGGTTATTATCTAGAGTTATTAATCTGGTCATTAGATGGTTTATGATGATCATTAGCTGGTGTAAGCAGGTTTAAGGTGGTCATTAGCTGTTGCAAGTTGGATATTATTTGCTTTACTATGGTAATTAGCTGGTTTAAGATTGTCATTAGTTGGATTAAACTTGTTTAAGATAGTAATTACACAGAGTAAACTGGTTTAAAATGGCCATTAACTCGTTTAAGATCATTAAGGTCATTAGTTGGTTTAGGAGGATCAATAACTTGTTTAAGCTGGTCATTATCTGGTTTAAAATAGTCATTAGCTAGTGTAAGCAAGTTATTATTTGCTTTAGTATGGTTATTGGCTGGTTTAAGATGGTTATTATCTAGAGTTATTAAGCTGGTCATTAGATGGTTTATGATGATCATTAGCTGGTGTAAGCTGGTTTAAGGTGGTCATTAGCTGTTGCAAGTTGGTTATTATTTGCTTTACTATGGTAATTAGCTGGTTTAAGATTGTCATTAGTTGGATTAAACTTGGATATTATTTGCTTTACTATGGTAATTAGCTGGTTTAAGATTGTCATTAGTTGGATTAAACTTGTTTAAGATAGTAATTACACAGAGTAAACTGGTTTAAAATGGCCATTAACTCGTTTAAGATCATTAAGGTCATTAGTTGGTTTAGGAGGATCAATAGCTTGTTTAAGCTGGTCATTATCTGGTTTAAAATAGTCATTAGCTAGTGTAAGCTCGTTATTATTTGCTTTAGTATGGTTATTGGCTGGTTTAAGATGGTTATTATCTAGAGTTATTAAGCTGGTCATTAGATGGTTTATGATGATCATTAGCTGGTGTAAGCTGGTTTAAGGTGGTCATTAGCTGTTGCAAGTTGGTTATTATTTGCTTTACTATGGTAATTAGCTGGTTTAAGATTGTCATTAGTTGGATTAAGATGGTTTAAGATGGTCATTAATTGGTTTTAGATGGTCATTCGTTGGTTGAGGAAGGTCATTAGATTATTTAAGATAATCATCATTAGCTGGTTTAAGATAGTAGTTAGCTGGTTCATGCTAGTCATTAGCTGGGGTAAGCTGGTTTAAGGTGGTCAGGTGGTTATTAATTGCTTTAAAATGGTCATTAGCTAGTTTAAGGGAGTCATCAGTTGGTTCAAGTTAGTCATCACCTAGTCTAAGATGGTTTAAGAGAGTCATTAGCTGGTTCAATCTGGTCATCATCTTTTTGTAAGATGGTTTAAGATGGTCATTAGATGGTGCAAATTGGTCATTACCTAGTGTAAACTGGTTTAAAATGGTTCAGGCTTGTTATGACCAAGTGAAAACTGGTTTAAAATAGTTCAGGCTTATTATGACCAAGTGTAAACTGGTTTAAGATGGTTGTCAGCTGGTTCAACCTGCTCATTAGCTAGTGCATGCTGGTCAGTAGCTGGTGTAAGCTACAGTAGTGATTAGCATGTTCAAGTTGGTCACCAACTGGTGTTTATCAATTTAACATGTTAATTTAGAATGATAATTATTATCATTAGTAGTAGAAGTCTTAGTATTTTAATACTGAATATTAAATAATAACACAATAAAAATTAACACAATTATTCATGCCCACCTGACCAAAACATGAATTCCTTAACAGGAGATTTCAACAGTTTCTAGACAGCCCTTGTTGCAGGTCCAACAGGTTAGCTTGGTCCGGCTAATGATTGGTTTAGAACAGGAAAAGGCGAGCTGCCTTGTTCCAAAACACTACTAACCAATTTAATCTGGATTTTCCAGCAGGGTGAGAATATGTTTTTTATTTATTTCACACTATGCCCTCATTAAAAAGCGTTTGGAGATGGCGGCATCTGTGATCACCTGCACGAGATGATGAAGGAATATGAGTGGTTTCGCCAGCAAGGAGCAAATGTGGATGAAACACGTTCTGACAGGAAAATCAGTGCAGCCAAACCCCCCTCTGCTCCTCACGAGTAGGAAAACAGCTTGAGGAATGATACGTATCTAAAGCTACCAGGCTTCATTCATACTTGTCATAAACACAAACATTCAGAAGAGCCAGGCGTCAGATTTATTTACACTATATATCATTATATATATATATATATATATATATATATCATTATTTCAAAGAAAGTATTAAAAACAGAAAAAATATCTTCCATGCTGCAGTTTTTTCCATCTCAAGGATTTTATTTTTCCTCAATCAATAAATTAACAAATGAAAAGAAGTAAGAAGTTTGAGAATCATGGTAAAAAAAAACATTAGCAAAGATGGCTCTTCTGGTATGGGGTTAAATGACAGATGATTACATCACTGCAATGAGAGAAATGTAATTCTTCTCAAACCAATTTATGGGGCGTTAATTGAAATTTGTTATCAAGATCAATCTGGCAACCATGGCAACCAACATGAACCATGTTGGTGGTTCATAGATGTAAAAGGCTAGATTGAAATAAAAATGAAAAAAGAATACCAATGAACTGAAGCAAGTGGAATAATAACAATGCAATTAAATTACAGACATAACCTACAGGT